TTTTTTTTTATCCTCTGTGTGGATTGAGGAAACCCCAGTAGGGATGCAGTATTTTAAATCCCTTCTTAAGAGAAAAATATCTTTTCTTAAATTAGTAAGGCTCCATATTAATAAATGAAAGTAGTTGGCTGACATCCTGAACTCTAGTACTTTAGTCACTGAAACATTATTTCTCCAAAGGCCTCCTTTATAAATTATGAGCAGCCTGTAAGAAAAAGTACAGAGAAATATTTGTTATTTTAATATATAAACAAAACTGTTTTATATATAAACTTGATTTGATAAATTAGTTGGGAAGTTAAATCAGTAATAAATTGGGACAGAATATGGCTGAGTATTCAATGCCTGAAATTCTCTAAGGCTTTTGGAGTGCGTTGTCTTTTATCCATGTGGGTACTATGAACTCCATCTGTTAATGCATTTTCTCCCCAAAATGAATCTATGCTTGAACTATCATTATTAGGGCCCGTGTTCAGGGCTGTTTTTCCAGTATGGGGGATGAATTTGTGCTTTTTTCATCTTTTGAAGGACTCCTCTTTAGACCTGCGACAGTAATAATAACTTATTCATTAACTGCTTAATGTGTGGCAGGCACTGTGCTAAGCATTTCACCTGTGATATATGTTATTTAATCCTCACAAGAACCCTAGGATGTTATCCCNCTTTGGCTGCTGGGCCTCCATAAGCGCCCAGGCCGGGGCCACCCCTGCGGTGACAACGGAGGGCCTCAACACCACCGAGGTAGCCCAAGCCACTCGCGGACCCTCCCTGTCACTTAGGCCTACGCGGACCCCCAAGGCCCCGGGGCCCTCCTCCGGCCCCAGGCCCACCCCAGTCACGGACGGTGGGTACCCAGTGCCAAATCCTGGGGTTTCACAGTGATCTAACCTGGAGGGGGTAGCACGGGTGAGGATGTAATAATAATGCTAGCTAACGCTTATTGAACAGTTACTGCGTGCACCCATCGCTGAGTGTTCCATAGGCATTAATTCTCTCGACAGTAACCCTGAGAGTAGATATTCTTATCCCTGTCATACATATGAGGAAACTGAGGCTCAGAGAGCGTAAGTGGGAAAGTAAAAATCTTTTATTAAAGTACCTGCAGTAAGCCTGGACAACATTAATGCTAAAGGTAATAATAATGAATGAATCCTTGCAGCTGAACACGAAATTAAATAGAAAGTTTCTAGACAATGGTGG